AAGAACAGGCGTAACTTCATTTCCGATCTCGGACTAGCATGTGAAGATGGTCAAACTATGAATGGGAGTCTTAAAGGTGTGATTCCATATGTTGCGCCAGAAGTTCTTGCCTGCAAACCTCACACGAAACCTACAGATATTTACAGTTTTGGTATTGCCATGTGGGAGTGCACATCCTGCCAACCACCATTTCATAATATGGATTTTGGTCCAGATTTAGTTTACGATGTTTACTGTGGTTTAAGACCACCAATAATTAAAGGGACTCCGGAAAGCTATGTTCAGTTAATGATGCAATGTTGGGATCCTGATCCTGAAAAACGTCCCACAGCTCACATTTTAGCCGAGACTTTGGAAAATGGATCTTAATTATTTCTAAAGATGCATCAGATCATCTTACAGACAATGACATTAAGATTAGAAATCAATTTAAGTTGGCTGAGGAAGAAAGAAAAAAAAACACTTTTCCAGTTGTACCATATTTTCAATTGAAAACACATCCTTTGGCGAGTTATACTAGCCGCGTTATCTCGAGAATTACTGGTAAAGTTAATAATTATTTTAATTTATTTGGGACCGTTAGATAATACTGTATGGTATTCATATAAGCTATTTTTGTCTTTATTATTAAACAGCATCCCGGCAACTTGGTCAATCAAATAGTAACTAAAAATTTTATTTGCATAATTTTTCTAGTTTACAAGTTCTATTACAATAAGGCATTGTAAAAATTTAAACAATTATTGTATAACAATAAATAGTAATATAATATTATAATTTTTTGTGATATTGTCTCATAACAAATATTGCTACGTATACGATATTTCTTGCAAAAATTTTTTGTAATGCAAATAAATATTTTGATTTAAAATAAAAATTTTTAAAAATTTTGAAGTCAAAAACAACGTGCTTTGTAAAGTATATAGATATATACAGTATATGTAAGATGTACTGTATATTACAATTAAAAAATAATTTTTATATCCATTATTATATTAGTTATTAGAATGCTTAAAAACCATATGAAATAAAGATTAAATACAATCATATTTTATATAAAATTAATAATTATATAGTTGCAGAAAAAATTTTGTATTGCCTGATTTTGATCCAAGTTTTAAATCCGTTGACTAAATTATATGTAGTTTCAAAAGTTCACGTTTGTTTCTTATAATTTGCAAAAATACAAACAGGTTTTGAAAAATAGTATAAAAAACATTCTTAGAAGCATTTAGAATGTAAATTAAAAATAAATACAATAAATGAGTATATTTTTCTTATATTATCTTATTTTTGCATCGAACGTTTCACAGATTATTTCATTGTCATTCTATTTCCAACTTTGTTAATCGATAATAAAATGTTTAGATATTTAAATGGAGTACTATGACTCACTCATACTGTTTATGAACCAAGCGAACACCATACTTAAATAAAAATCAATTCTATATGTATTAACATCGGATCTTAATTTTATTGTCTAAAATATATAGTGTGAATGTTGATTTTATTTGTTTATAAATATATCAATAATCAGAATCAGTTTGCTTTTTATCAACACTCTGTGCAGTCAATATTTAGGCTTCCGAAATTATACGCAATAGGATTAGTACATCTACAATAGTTACTTTGTTACACTTTAAATACTTGGAATAAATCATTCCAAAACACACATGAAATCTTAATAAATCTAACTTAACTCTAATTATAAAATAAACATTTAAATATTTGAATATTTGCATATCCTGTTTTTGCATTACAAAATCTTCAAATCGTGATTAAATAATACGCGTGATAAATGTTCAATGTTTCTCAAATGATCAACTTTCAAAATTATTATTTTCTAATACTCCATTTTTTGATTTTAGGTACCATTCTTGTGATTTCTCGTCATCGTGTTCAGTCCCAATTCCATACTTATAACAATCCCCAAGATTGTACTGACCAAGGTGATATCCACCTTCAGCAGACTTTAAATACCATAGAAACGCTTCATCATAATCTTTTGTAGTTCCTATCCCATTTTTGTAACAATCTCCGAGGTTATTTTGTGCTCTAACGTTACTAACTTCGACGGATTCCAAGTAACAGCGATATGCCTTC